TGAAGGAAAAATAAGACATTTGGACACTGATGATGGGATAAATATTGATTATTCACAGAGCTGTACAGACTATGTGTCCCTCAGCTACGTAATTTTGACAGAAACAAATGCACAATTCCCTTTCTGACTTCAATAAAATAACAAGGAATCATTGTTTTAGCTTATTTTCAGCTGAGAGATACAAGAATGACTTCTTTGGCCTATAATGATTCTTACAGTATTATTTGAAAATGATTTTGTATTCATTTGCTGCTTGCCAAAATATAAAAGTGGGCTCAATGGCTGTGCTTCCCACATCATTTTAAGTATTTGTCAAATTGCACCATATGAGAATGTTCTTTGTGCTATTGCTAACATGTTTTCTCCTATGTCCCTTTCAGATAAAATTGCTGTCTTCATGGTCTTAGTGGGTTCTCTGTTGACATATGAATCCACCATGAATATTCACATTGGAGTCTAAATCATTATTTATGTAGGGTTCTTAAATTTAGTTAATATGTTATTAATGATAATATTTGGGGAAAAAAAACTACATCTTTGAAAAAATACTTCTTTCTTAGTACTAAAAATACTGTGGTTTATATTTTAAATTGACCTTTGTTCTGAATTTAACCTCAGGGATGTGAAAGTAAAAATTATATAAAAACATCACCCCCTTGAGGCTGAGCCAGTGTGATTTACAATTTGGATGTCTTCTGTTCTGTATTCACTTATGCCCCCTAAATACAATTTAAAACTTCATATTTAATATATTTAAGTATTTTTTTCTTTTTTCAAAATGAGGAGTATCTTAACTTCTTTTTTGCATTTTATGTCCTGAATAACCAAGATAAATATTTTTATTCATTAATTACAGATAATGAGAGGGGATCTGTTCTTAAACTGAAATACACTGTGTTCGTAATCAGAGAAAGTTGAAGCTCTGAGCTTCTGACATTGCAGCCTGATCCCTCTGTCCTTTGAAGAGACAAAAGATTTCCAGAAGATTCCAAAAGATTTCCTGCTAACCAGGCACCCCCAAGGCTCTGTACATGTTCTGAATCTCCTGAGATCTTTAAAGTTTAGATCTACCAAAACACCTTTAAATTTTGATCCCTAGGATCCTGCAAGATTTTATCAGAAGTCATCCAGCCCAGGACAGGTGATGGAGCCGGGAGCTCGGCTGTCTGTCCGGAGGTAGTCAGGAGACGCTATTCCATCTGGTTGTGTTCAGCATTGTGTTGTTGATATGGACAAGCTGTTCAAAAGCACATGAGATTAATCTCAGGGGAGATACTGTAGCCTACAAAGGCATATGAAAAACACAGTACAAACAGGATAACAGGAAGGAAAGTGTATTTTCCTTGGACTGGAATCCCCAGCCTATTTTATTATGGGAATAAAGAAAACAGGCACTCCCTTCCCACTCTGCCCCAGCATACAGAACAGTTGCCCCCCATGAGGAAGTACTTGCCAGCCTGGCCATTTATGCAAATCTGATTATCTCACACAGTCACACTGTGAGGAGGTGACACCAGACCCCTAGGGAGGATGAGAAAGGCGGGGCATTAATCTGTACAAGTACAGTAACTAGTAAGTACTACAATCAGTAATGGAGCTTGGGAGTCTTGCGTATTTCACGTCCCTGGACTGACTTGCTTCCCGAAATGCAGAATTCAGAGGAAGGAAATCTAGTTAAGTTTGACTAGCAGAAGTCAGAAAGTGTAACGTGTTTAAAATATTTATTTATTTGAAAAGAGTGACAGAGAGAGAGAGAGAGAGAGAGAGAAAGATCTTCCATCTGCCATCTGCTGGTTCACTCCCCAAATGCCTGCAGGAGCAGTGACTTGCCCAGGCCGAAGCTACAAGAATGGCCTCCATCCAGATCTCCCACATGGGTTGCAGGGACCCACACACTTAAGCCATCAGGTGCTGCCTCCCAGTGTGACTTGGAAAACTACAATGAAGTAGAGGACCTTGGTTCTTGTCTCACAAAGAATTTCCATGCAGACAAGACAATGAGCAACTCAGGATTCATTTAAATCAGAAACTTCCTGGCACAGCAGCCAGAAGCAGGGCTCCAAGAGAAGAAGACATGAGAAATGAGACAAAGTGGTGTGTTTTAAGCACAATATGGGCAAGCAGAATAGCAGCTTACAGAGTACAGGAACAAAACCCAGCAGAGGGCCTGACTTGTATCTCCCGCTTGCCTGTTCATAATAATAAAAAAATTCATAGACAGGTGAAATAGGTAACTTCTTTCTATTCCTATGATAAAACTGGAAACTCAGAAGGCTGGAATGGGGCCAGCACTGTGGCTCAGTAGGTTAATCCTCCACCTGCAGTGCCAGCATTCCATATGGGCACCAGTTCTAGTCCTGGCTGCTCCTCTTCCAATCCAGCTCTCTGCTATGGCCTAAGAAAGCATTAGAAAGTCCTCAGGCCCCTGTATCTGTGTAGGAGAGTGTGAAGAATATCCTTGGTTTCAGATCAGCCCAGCTCCAGCCATTGCAGCAATCTGGGGACTGAACCAATGGAAGGAAGACCTTTTTCTATATCTCTTTCTCTCACTGTAACTCTACCTCTCAAATAAATAAATAAAAAAATCTTTAAAAAAAAAAGGCTGGAATGACACTTTTGTCTTTTCAGTTCATAATTGATCATAATGATAGGATTAAGTGTCAAAGGGATCACATAAACAAGACTAGCATCTGCTAATAACAACTGATATAATTAAAAAGGAGAGAACAATCCAACATGGGAAGCGGGATACACAGCAGACTCATAGAATGGCAGATGTCCTAAACAGCACTCTGGCCTCAGAATCAGCCCTTAAGGCATTTGGATCTAGCTGAAGAGTCCACGAGAGTATTTCAGGCATGGAAAGCCAAGGCACTGTGGCAAAAAAAAAAAAAAGACTTAAATGAAAGATCTCTGTGAGTGAGATCCCAGCAGAAAGAACGGGCCATCAAAGAAAGAGGTACCTTTCTCTGAAGGGAGGAGAAAACTTCCACTTTGACTATGGCCTTATCTAAATAAGATCAAAGTCGGCAAACTCAAAAGGCTTCCATAGCCCTGGCAACTCATGACAAGAGCCTCGGGTGATTATTGACAACATAAATAAGAGAGTCAATTGTTAAATCAACAACAGGAGTCATTGTGCAGTTACTCCCCATGTAGGATCTCTGTCCTTAATGTGTTGTACTATGTGAAGTAATGGTATAACTAGTACTCAAACAGTACTTTATATTTTGTGTTTCTGTGTGGGTCCAAACTGTTGAAATGTTTACTTAATATATACTAAATTGATCTTCTGTATATAAAGAGAATTGAAAATGAATCTTGATGTAAATGGGATGGGAGAGGGAGTGGGAGATGGGAGGGTTGCGGGTGGAAGGCTGGTTATGGGGAGAAAAAGCTGCTATAATCAAAAAAGTTGTACTTTGAAAATTTGTATTTATTAAATAAAAGTTAAAAAACATAGTAAAGTTGTGGGACAGTAGAAGAAGAGCAAACACCACTCTTGGGCTTTTACTTTCTTATACTGGGGAAGGGTTCATGCTTTTCACTTTTATACAGGACAGTTGTATTGTGTTAAGTAGAATTATGACCATGTTACTATCTTTATTGGAGATATATTTGGTTTAATCAAGAGGGGATATGGGTGACACACTGAAATGGGTATACTTGTGCCAGTAAATTTTTAAGGGTCAATTTAACTCCTGTTGATTCCCAGATACATGGGAAAGCATTGTTCCTGGGTATGTTTCTGGAAGGGATAGCATTTGAATCAGTAGACTCAATGAAGATGGCTCTCACCAATTATGCAATTTCAAAATAATCTACAGTTCATAGGAGAAAGTGTTTATTACAAATGCCCACAATTTCTATTTTCTTGACATCATTGTTTTTGACAGTTACAGAATCTGACAACACCATTCAACATGTGTCAGAAAAGAAAATGTCACCTTTAGGTAAACTAAGTCAATCCTGAACTAGAATTATTAACTAAAATAAAATTGAAGCTACTTTCTGTATTTCTGTCTTAAAAAAAGAGAGAGAGATTATTTATTTAAAGTCAGAGCTCCAGAAAGAGAAAGTGAGACAGAGAAATCTTCCATTTACTGGTTCACTCCTCTGACAGCCACAAAAGCCAGGGCTGGGCCAGGCCAAAGCCAGGGAGCAGGAGCATTATATGGGTCTCACGGTTGGGTTGCAGGGGTGCGAACACATGCTGCTTTGCCTAGGCAATAATCAGGGAGCTGGGTCAGAAGTGGAGCAGCTATGACACGATGCAGCACCCATAGGGGATGCCAGCAAGGGATGGCTTTACCTACCATGCCAGTACACTGGTGCCACTTTCTGTATTTCCTAAAGAGAAGTATTACTGGCTGATCACAGAGATAACAGACCTATAAATCATGCTTATTCTACTATGTTTAGTATACATAAAATCATTAAGTCAAGTTTAATAATTTGATTCCTATATAGGAAAATTCAATTTAAAAACTGAAGAAATACACTTTGAAATGAAACCAACATTGATGCTAAAAGATAATAAAGTTATTCAGATTCTTTTTTATTATCATTCAAGTTTTGTTCTACATTGTACTGGAAATACTAGGTAGAGAAATTAGGCAAGAGAAAAAGTCAAGGGCATCTGAATTGAAGAGAGAGGCCAAATTGTTACTTTTGGCTAATGAATGTTCTTACATATAGAAAACCCACAAAGACTCCACCAAAAACCTGAGTGAACAAATACATTCTGCAAAGTATCAGGGTGTAAGGTCAACATACAATGACCAGTAGAAAGCAATCCCATGTTCACTAGCTACACTAAGGAAAAAGAAACAGCTGGGAATACATGTGACCAAAGAAGTAAAAGATCTCTACAATTAAAACTATGAATCATCAATGAAAGAAATTAAAGAGTATTTTAGATATGGGATTAGCATGTACTACTTGTTTTATGGTGACAGTTCACTATTTCAACACATACACTCAGCATAAATTGATCATACCAGACAATCCCAGAGATCTTATTTCTTTTGGGCTTTGCCGTCCTGTCCAGGGTCCTGTAGTTCAGCCTCAAAGATTCCTTTCATGCAGAGCAGGCCTAGTGGTGAGGACTGTCCATGTCCCTCCAAACTTCATGTTCAAACTTCAAGGTCAATGCTACAGTATAAAAAGGTGGGGAATCCAGGACTAGGGCTCCACTCTCTTTCACGGGATGAGTGAGTTTCTTTTTTTCTAACAAAAGAGAATTAGATACTTATTTGAAAGTCAGAGATACAACAAGAGAGAGGGAAGAGGTGAGAGAGAGAGAGAGAGAGAGAGAGAGATCGTCCAACTGCTGGTTCACTCCCCAAAGAGCCACAATTATCAGGGCTGGGTCAGGTTAGTCCTGAACCCCATCCAGGTCTTCCACAGGGTGGCAGAGGCCCAAATACTTGGGCCATCTACTGCTGCTTTCCCAGGCACAATAGCAGGGAGCTGGATTGGAAGTGGAGCACCCAGGCCTCCAATCAGCTCCCACATAGGATGCTGTGTAGCAGGGTTTAATCTGCTGGACGATAGTGTCGGCCCCAGGCTACGTGACTGTCTAAAAGGGCCTGAAGGGGTGAGGTTCTGATTAAACAATCTGAGGACACCCCAGGAAGGCAAGCTCTTTCCATAAAATTTACGGGTGAGTGTTGAAATAAGAAGTGGTACTTTTTTAAGGGTTACAATGCAACTTTTCCACACATGTACTTGGCTTCAATCAACCACAGCAAACCACCAGCCTTCCCATCTTACCATCTCTCTCTGAAGAGGGCACAGCAGCAGCAGAGAGGGAGCGCTTTCCAGACAACGAGTCTGCTGGAGCCCTGACCTCCATCTTCCAGCCTGCAGAACAAACACTGAGGAATGAATTTCTGCTCTTTTTCAATGACTCCGTTCAAGACACATTGTTAGAGTAGCACAGGAACCCTGAGGCTATTCTAAGGAGAAGTTGGAGGAGGAAGCTCACTCAGTGGTTGGCCTTCCATACATGGACTATAGCAACCCAGCTACCTTCTGGTCCTCCAGGAGTTCTAACAAGAAATCTGTTGAGGATCTTAGGGAGAGAGGATGATGAGAGATCCCTTCCTCTCAGCTCTGCCCATGTGAATAATGTGCCTAGTGGTGCCATGGGCAACAGAACACTTTGTCAAGGTTATGAGGATGGCAGAGAAATTGTAACATCATTCTGTGACCTATCATTCTGAGGTTCAAGGAAATGGGATGTGTATCTTGAGTGTAAACAATTGGAGGTCTTAAAGACCCAACAGTTTTTATCACCCTTTAAAGAGGAATGAAAAGGCCATTGGGGCATCCTACATGTTTTAATGTCTCAAAAAATAAACATCAATCTGTATCACCAACCTAAGCCAAAAGCTCTTGGAGTTCTTGGCTGCCGCTCATCCTTGATTGGTCCCCGCCTGGCTCTGACTTCATAAAGACCAACTGTCATGAAATAGAAATTCGTGCAAGTCCCTGCTGCACTGCCATTGGTCCATTTCTCCCTCTGACTTCATAAGGAGCCCTGTGATGACAGGATTCCACACGCCTATATAAGCGGCTGCGCGGCCCAGGTTTTTGTCCGCTTTACCAGGGAGCTATTTCGGTGACCTGTGTGACTTGGACCCCTCTTTGCTTGCGCTTGTGTTGGTTGGTGTTGGTGTGCTGTTTTGTTTGTTTGTTTGTTTCTTGTTCTACTTGGTTTTTTCTTTTCCCCATTTTGTTTTAGTTTGTTTTTTTCCTCCTATTTCTTTTTTGGCCCAGTGTGTCTTTTTTTGCGGTTTTTTTTTCTTTTTGGCTTCCCCCATCTTTAGCTAGACAGTGCTGCTAGATCTCTGAGTGTTAGTGTAGCTATTTAGTGTTTGTTTTTTTGGAGTTTTTCTGGTTTTTGTTTTCTGTTTTGGTTAGATAGGACTTAGTCTTGCCACTGTGTGTGATTAGTGTAGTTAGTATAGCTAGTGTGCCACTATAGTCAGATCAGCAGGTAGTCCCCTTGTTGTCCCTTTATTTTCTTAGTTATTGTAGTTAGGGTAGCTCCTTAGTTAGCGTCTATGGACAGGAATATTAGCCAGAGCAGAGCAGAGAGTGTAGTTAGGGACACCAGCCTGGAAGGCCGTGAGGACCTGGATGTCGACACCAGCCGTCAGCTTGATCTCCAGTTTCTGTCGGCCCTGGGCAGGGGCAGCTTCAGCAGGGTGCTGCTGGCCTGCCAGCCGTCCAGCCAGCGGCTGGTGGCCGTGAAGCTGTTCAAGGAAGACGAGAGGGACCCTTTCGGCGCCAGGCGAGTGATGCAAGAGGCCAGCATCATGCAGCTCCTGAGCCACGAGAACATCATCAAGCTGCTGGAGGTGGGTTGCGTCGGCCAACACCACTGCCTGGTGTTGGAGCTGGCGCAAAGGGGCAGCCTCCACCAGTACGTGATGAGCCGGGGCGGCCTGCCAGAGCCCGAGGCCATGGTTATATTTGATCAGATCCTGGCGGCCGTGGGCCACTGCCATGAGCAGCGCGTGGCCCACAGGGACCTCAAGCTGAAAAACCTACTGCTGGACTCAGACATGAATGTCAAGCTGGTGGACTTTGGGCTCAGCTGGCAGCTGCCCGAGGGCGAGCTGGTGTCCGGCTTCTGCGGGACCCCAAAGTACAGCGCCCCCGAGGTGTTCCGGCAGGAGCCGTATGATCCATTCGCAGCAGACCTTTGGAGCCTGGGGGTCATCCTCTTTGCCATGCTGGCGGGGGCCATGCCCTTCACAGGGAAGGACCGGGAGGAGCTGCGGGACTGCATCCAGAGGGGGAGCTACGAGCTCCCGTGTGCGGCCAGCCCAGCCCTGGAGGAGCTCCTGAGCTCACTCCTCAGCCCAGACCCCTGCGACAGGCCTACAGCGGAATCTGCCCGCCAGCAATGGTGGTTTGACCCCTTACGAGAGGAAGCTGAGGGCGAGGAGCTGACCGTGGTGCAGCCCCTGGGGGTTCCCGAGGACCCAGAGGCCCAGGAGTACCTGGCGGGCCTGGGTCTGCTTCCGGACGCTGGAGCCTCGGTGCCATCTGGTCCTGGAGGATCCAGCCGGATGTCCCTGCAGCCGGACTCCCGGAGCCTGGAGCAGGTACAGCCCTGTTGGCAGAGCGTGGGTCTGGCCGTGGTCTCCCCGCACAGCCTCACGGTTTTGTGGGCATGAGGGAGGTCCGGAGTGCACCTGTCCTCCTCACCCGTCTTCCCCTCTCTCCTCAGGGACACAGGGAACCCGAGCCTGAGCTGGGGTCCGAGTCCGAGGCGGAGTCGGATTCAGAGCTGGTGCTGGAGCCGGAGCCCATGCCCGAGCTGGAGTTGGATCTGGAGTCGGAGTCAGAGTTGGAACCTGAGCCGGAGCCTGCCGTTGCTGCCCCCGTGCTGGCCATTTCCCTCCCTGGACAGCTGCAGGAGAGGAGCTCTGGTGCCAGCCCAGCCCCCGAGCCCGTCCCTGTGGTCGTCCCTTCCACCCCCAGCCCCAGGAGCAGACTGCACCTGGTGGTGCCAGAGGTCCCAGCAGCTGAGCCTCAGGAGCCTGGGACCTCAGCAGCTGCCTCTGTCCAGAGCAAGGGCCGGCAGGGGCTGGGCAGGAGGATTGGCAGGAGCGTCCTCAGATTCCTCCTGTGTGCCTGCTGCCTGCCGGCCCCAACCCCTAGCCCTGGCTCCCGCAGCCGAAAGGTGGCCCCCCGCTAGCCTACCTCAGAGCACATCAAGAACAGGGGTCAAAAGCGGGGCCTCCTGAAGCTTTTTCATTTGCTTGAGAGTTTTCTACGCTTCTCATGAACAAAAATCTGAACTGTATGCATGGAATTGGTCCTGTGTGGTGTTTGCGTCCCTGTGTACACCTTGGCATGGATGGATGGAGGTAACAGGCAAGAGGATGTCACATGACAAATACAGGCCCCTCTCACTGCTCTGGGGCTAAGACAAAGGCTGACCTCCAAGACCTAGAGAACAGAGTATTGGTTCCAGAGGCTGGTGGGGGTGGGGGGTTGAAAGGGCAATGTGGGCTGGATACTGGAGTGTGGGAGGGATGGAGGTGAGAGGGTGGCGGGGCGATGGTGTAGAGGGGTTATGGAAAGTAGAAGGTGTGGAGAGGCTGTGGAGAGGGAAGGAGTGGAGGAGAGGGAGGGAGTAGCTGAAGCGGAGGAGAGGCTCTAATAGGCACCGTTGCTCCTGCACAGGAGGGAGGGTTCATGAACCTCTAACACAGCAGGGAGGTTGTGGTCACTTGGGATGTACATTGAGGTAGAGTTGAGTATCCATACCCAATACCCACCTGCATTGCCAACGGAGGACAAGCCCCCACCGCCAAGGGCCAAGGACTCTGACATCACAGTGTATGGGATGGGCCAGGTGTGGACTCAGGCAGCTGCGGGTGGGAGCTGGGCTGGAATTCCTACTGTGGCCTGGGTTCAGCAGAGAACAGAGGCAGCCACATACCAGGGGTTTCTCTGCAGGTGTTCAGGGCAATGGGGCACCTGGCCCAGCCTGGTCTTCCAAAGCTGCCTGTGCAAATGGGAGGGAAGTGAAAGGAAAGCTGGGGCTGCCTGCAGAGGACAGGGCCCCTCGGGCTCCACCAGGGGAAGCTGTGGACACAGAGAACGCCACACCCTTTTTCATCTTCTCCTCCATGTTTCTGGGCTGGATGGATTCTTAGGTAATGATCATTTCTTCCAAATCTGAAGGTAACATCGATGCTCCCCTACACAGATCACAGTGTATTTGCTGTTCGGCCTCCTCCCTGGACAAAATCAGAGCTGCACTGTGCTCCAGATTATGAGCAGGCCATTCTTGGAGGCCTCGGTTAAGTTACAGGGAAAAGTGACTCCAGAGAAATCTCAACGTCACCCCAGGAGTGACAAATGGTTCATGGTGATGCCAATGGATAAGGCTGTGAGCCGTGTGCAGGGCAGACACGCAGACACTTTGTGTGGGCTCCCAGCACACATGTGACCTGGCTACCATTGTAGGAGATGCAGTGGGAACACAGGTCATGCTGGCATATGTGCACCTGCCCCAAGTCCACAACACACAGTGCCAAGGTCCCAAGAAGCAGGCCCTGTTGGGAGTCGTGTTCCCTTCCTGTGATCTGTGGCCTGGAGAAGTCCCGAGAGGCTTTGCCACGTCCCAACTTCAGCTTCCCTGGACCCTGGGCTCCAGAGTTGAGAGCGATGGTAAAGCACAGCAGCTCGGAGGGGCTGGTGTCTGTAGGAGGGGCCTTTGCCAAGGCAGGTTCCAGGGCCACAAGACTGTGGATTCCCAAGAGAGGCAGCGGGGAAGACTTTCCTCTTCAGTGTACTACAAGGCTCACAGCCCACCTATCATGATCCTGGTTCCTCCCCATCCAGGTGAGACTGTCCTTCAACCTGAGGGCAGGGCTAGGGAAGCAAGAAGCAGGCCAGGGACGGGGTGGCAGGCTGGGTGCCCCCATCTGTTCCACAGTGTGGGTTTTATTTCACAGCAACACAAAGTGTGGACTCCCACTGTTGCTGTGCTTCAAAGCCATGCCTGGCTCTGTCCCCTTCAGGGCAGGACTCAGCTCCTCCCCTCACATTGGAGACCTAAACTCACCTGCCCTCCTGCCTACCTTCCCTCTGCACACATTGAACAGCCTTGTTTATCACAGGTACTGGGTCACCTCTGGTCCACTGCATGTGCTCTTTCCTCTCTGGGAAGACAGCAGACTGGGGACACCAAGCCTGAAGCCTGGATCTGCATCTGGGTCTCTCATGCTGGGTATCAGGGATCCAAGGACTTGGGTGTTCACCTGTTCCCTCTCAAGAGTGAGTGTCAACAGGAACATGAAGTTGAAAGTAGTTCCCGGACTGGAACCCAGGCGTTAAGGCAGGGCACGTGTGCATCCCAAGTGTGGTCTTAAGACCTGCCCCAGACACCTGCACCTCTCTGTGTTTCCTGTACCTCTCTGTGGTATATTCAAAATGTAGTGAACTCTATCTGACTGCTGCTACAGAGAGCAGTGCTTTTCTGTTTTTGAATCTTTAAACATTCACTGTGTGCAAACATGATTACATCTATTTCAATGCCAGGTATTACTTACAGAAATCTTAGACTTGAAATTGTTCTTCAAAAAAATGTCTCAGAGACACTGACATGGGCCAGCACTTGTGGCATTGTGTGTAAAGCCACCACCTGCAGTGCCGACATCCCATAAGGGCGCTGGTTTGAGTCCAGGCTTCTCCACTTCTGATCCAGCTCTCTGCTGTGGCTTGGGAGGCAGTAGAAGATGTCCCAAGTCCTTGGGCCCTTGCACCCACGTGGGAGACCCAGAAGAAGCTCCTGGCTCCTCGCTTTGGATCAGCTCAACTCTGGCTGTTGCTGCCATTTGGGCAGTGAACCAGCTGATGGAAGTCCTTTCTCTCTGTCTCTCTCTCTTACTGTAACTCTCTCAATTAAATAAACAAATCTTTATAAAATTTTTTTTCTAGAAAGCTTAAGTGGAGCAGCTGAGACTCGAACTAGCACCCATATGGGAAGCTGGTGTCACAGTTAGCACTTCAAACTACTATGCCA